GGCCACAGCTGATCTGTTCTCATAGCTGTGCGCTGGCTCAAGGCAGGGCAGGTAGCCAAATCCATCCCCTACACTCCTGACAAGTAGCCCTGGCACTCCAGGCCAGCCTCAATTAAACCCACACTGGGGCCCTCAGCAGCCTCATGGGGTCTCAGTGGCACCACCAGATCTCAGGAAACAGCCCCCACTCAGCTGCTGCCTCTGGCCAGCCCTGCGGCCTCTCTGCTCACGGGACCCAAGCCAGCCTTGTGTCACTCTCTGAAGGGCACCAGCACTTACTTGTCTCTAACATTATCACAAAATCCCAAAATGGCTTGGATTGGAAGGGACCTTAATGCCCATCTCATCCCACCCCTGCCATGTGCAGGGACACCCTCCACCAGCCCCTGTAAATAAACACCTGCCACATTCACCCAAATACCAGATTTCACTCACTTTATCGCTCTCTGAAGGCCAGATTGTCATGGACAGAAAGCGCTGTGCCACTACAGGCAGTAAGCAAATGGCAATGGTTAAAATCATGGTAAGCCAAAGGTATGGCTGCCGCAGAGCATTCGGAGCAGCTCCTGGGAATAAAAGGAGCAAAAGTTAATTTATGATAACGCTACTTCAGACAGGACTGAGAACCACAAAGCACCAGGACTCACCTGTGAACTGAAAGACAGAAGGGAAGAGAACATGGATTCCAGCACTGTGAAAGTCAAATGTGAGCCCAAAGTAAAGTGCAATACTCCCAAATACTGAAAAAGCATTAACAAAAGTCCAGTAAGATGTATCCAGGCCAATCTAAAAGCAAACAAAAGTGCCAAATGAGTTTCTTAATTCCAAATAATGTCAATTACTTCTTACGTGTTGTTACCTTTCTAGTAGAGAAATTTAGAACAGTGAGCAGAAAGTGTTCTCAGAACACCAGAGCTCAGGGAACCAAGCTTACTTGCCTGAAAATTGACCACAAATATCAAAGAGGATGCTGCTGTGACAGCAAAGGACTGATAATCTGCAGGGCCTTCTCCATCTTGTCCCATAGATACAAGGTAGGCTCCGTATGGGATGAAGAAGATGATCAGTGAAGTTACAGCTCCATGGAGCAAACTTAGAAAGAACTTCTTGTAGTTGAAAAGTAAATCTCTCTGACCCAAAACATAAAGTCTGGGGAAACGAAGGCTCAGTTTGTCGCTCACATCCTTAACAGAGAGGAAAAAGAAAAAAGAAAATTGTGAATTGTTGTTCTCAGCCTGAGGTTTGGAGAGTGAAAAGCTGAACTATACAGTGTCCCAAAGGGAATGGCAGATCCCTTTCTCTTTCCAATAGCAGGGATCTGCACAGAGTAATGCAAAAGGAAGATGTTCTTAAAAGCCACAAAACCAAACCCCTCTTGTTTCATGCACAACCAGTGTAACTTAGGCCTGGTGACAGGTGCCTTTGGATTCCTTGCTGGAACAACATGGGGATACCTGGTCGAACAAGCCGACGAGCAGGACCGGGAGGCTGGAGTACAGCACGTTGTACACTGTGATGAACCAGTCCTCGTAGGCTGTCTGCAACAGAGGGGGAATTGCAGGACTTGGTGATTTCATTTGATTACACCCTTCCCCTCCAGTTCCTGAGAGAACTCACATGTGCTCTACCACAGCTCTAAGTTCCCTGTCTCGGGGTTCACCCCAAGGCAGCAGCGCCTTGGCTCAAGGCTCTGCAAGCTCCTCAGGCTGCGTTAAGCTGCCTCACTCCTGCCAAATGTTCCTCCCTGTACAACAATGACCTGACTTCAGTGCTCTGGAATCAAACCTAACTGCTTGTAACTAACTCACTCAGTACTCATCACATCCTCTTGCAGAAATCACTGGTGACAGCTTCACATTCCCGACACTTCCCAGGTTAAGCCTTTGCTGTTCCACACTGACAGAAGCACCTGCCTGTTGCTATCCCACACGAGCACAGCTTCCTACCTGGGCAGAGAAGCCATTGAAGAACGAGTACCAGATGTGGACCAGCGTGAAAGCGAAGTTTTTGTAGAAGAAGTATCTCAGGAACTTGCACATCCTGATGTAGGACCAGCGCCCGTGGACCAGCAGCAGCCGCTGGAGGTAGCGGAACTGCCCGAAGGAGTAGTCACTCGACATGACAGCCTGCATGCCCTCCTGGCCACTGATCCCGACTCCAATGTGGGCAGCTGGGTGAGGGACACAAACACCACACTCGAGGTTGGACAGAGGGACAGGAACACGACCAGGGCCCTTTCTACTGTCACCCACACCTGTCTCTCAGCGCTTGTTCTGCCAGAATGCACCGGGAAATTTGACCAAAGGAGAACCAAGCAATGGGACAGAGTGAGTAAAGTGCTGAACAAACTGGCCAGGCAGTTTACAAACACCCTTGGGACACAAACACTATCCTAGACATTTTGTCCTCACTTGCATCTCTTGGGAAGCTGAGCAGGTACAATGTGGGATGGCTAATGCCACCAGGCAAGAGGCAGCCAAGCTACTGCTTTGGTCTTTATATTACACTCTGTGACACACAGCATGAGAACAGATTCCTGCTCAGGGAATGTCTACAGAAAAAAAAAAATTAGATCAGGAAAAATCACTAACCATTTCCTAAAGTGCTTCCTCAGAAAGGGAAACAGGCACAGAAGCTAAAAGGCCCACGGCAGCAAAGCAGATGGAAGAGTCTTCTGACAGAGAGGGACAGTGGAGAGACCGCAGGAGCAGGCCAGAGGAGATCTGTCCTAGCGGGAGAGCTTGACAGCTGCCTTACTTTTGATCATGTTCACATCATTGGCCCCGTCCCCGATGGCCAGGGTGATGGCCTTCTTGTACTTCTTCACCAGCTCCACCACCATGGCCTTCTGCTTGGGTGTCACACGGCAGCAGATCACAGCCCTGCACTCGCAGGCCAGATCAACAAAGTTCTTCTGCTGCTGCTCCTTGTAGGCCTCTGCCCTTCTCCTTTTCTCACTTTGTTTCTTCTTCTCTTCTGCTGTTCTGGGGAATTTCAGTTTAAGTTTCTTTTTCTTCTTTTTCTTCTCCAGCAGGATTTCGTTCTGTGAAAAAAATAAAACTCACTGTATTCTCTTCCGCACCATTTGCAGTCCTACTCCAGGCACTGCCTAACAACACACCTGAGGTCATGATGCTCCCAGCATCCATTTCTGGCATTTTAATGAACTGCTCGTGCAGGCAACGGAACAGAGTCCTCAGTGAGAGACACTGCAGGCTGGTGGTGCCCCAAAACCCCAAACACTTGGGAGAGCAGCCTTTGTACATACCAGCCAGGAGCCCGTGATGATCAGAGCCCGGTCTTTGCTGCCCTGGAAGAATGGCTCGTTCATTCTCAGAGAGGAATGTGGACTGGAGCCAGCCCTGTTCCTCTGGTTTTCCAGCCTCGTTTGAAGGAGAGCACTGCAAAGAGAGGGGGAAACTGTATGGAAAAGTCAAGGATAAACTTTAAACTAGGTCAGTCCCAGACGGAAAATCCTGAAAACTAACTCCTCTGTACTTTTACTTGCCTGGTATCTTCTCCATAGCAGATGGCTGTGTCCTCTGTTAGGAGTTCACAAGAAAATCCAATATTTTCAGCAGTTTCTACAAAAAAAAAATTAAGAGAGGGAAGTATTTACTGAAAGTTCTGCTACAAACAATTGTTAGGAGCAGCCAGAAGCACCTCAAGTGCTCTTAAATAATTTCTGATTTACGTTTCAGTATGAGAATTCCCTTTCAATGCCACAGTGCAGATGAACAGGAAAACATCCTCCTGTTTTTAGCTGTTTGGCTGTAAGTAACCCCACCTTTTTTGTCACCAGTAAGCACCCAGATTTTAATGTCTGCTTTGGAGAGTCTGGAGATAGTTTCTGGAACTCCATCCTGTAGTTTGTCTTCAATAGCTGTTGCACCAAGCAGCTGGAAGGCATTTGAAACACAGGTGGTTAGTAGCGCTGAAAGATGTTTCTTTTAATGTAAGAATTGAAATGTACTAAAAATGTACAGCTCCTTACAATCAAGTTTTTTTCTATTTCCTCATACACTTTGTCCAGAGCTTCATCCCGGTGACTTGTAGCTAAACTGGCCTCCAGAAACTTTTTATTCCACACTTCAAATTCATCCTGGCTTATGTCTCTATAGCACAGGCAGAGTGTCCTGAGAGTTTCATTTGCAAAGACCTGAAAAATAATTAAAGCCACACATATCACAAAAGAAAACTCTTCATTTGCAATACAAATATAAGGGTGAGAACATAAGCATTTGACAAGTTTGACAGAACAAGCCCAACTTTCAGAACCAATTGCAGGTTTCCATTTGTCTTAATAGCTTAGGAAAAGGAAATGAATAACACTATTGTCAGAAAGAAACAATTTTTGTTTTAAAAAGTGCATACAAAATACAAACATACATCAAGGGCCTCTTCTGTGGCTTCTCTCTTGACGTTGCTGGGGTGCAGCCGCTCGTAAATCACCGTATCAGCCCCTTTGCAATACAGCCTGATATGGCCACCGGACTCTCTCACTGCGGAGGGAAACAGCACAGCTGGCACCCCTACATCAAGGAATCACTTCGGATTGGATTGCTCAGCCTACTGCCAAGATGGCGTTTCTCCTTCAGTGGGCTCAAACGTGCCCCAGAACTGGTAATTCTTGAGCCCAGCTCCCTCTGCACATCCCTTTTCACCCCCAAACAAGAGACCTTGTGCACGCAGGCCGGTGGCAGTCAGCTTACCAATGACAGACATCCTCTTCCTGTCGCTGTTGAAATCCAGGATGGCCAGGACATCGTAGGTCCTCTGGACGCCCATCTCGCTGATGGTGATGGTGTTCTGCGTCCGGGACAGGAACACGTAGCCGAAGTTGCGCGCGGCCGTCACCAGGGCCCCCTCGTCCGGGGACGCCGCCTGGTAGTGGAGCTGGCCTGCGGGATGGCAGCCAGCACACAGCTGAGGGTGCGGCTGGGCACTGCTGCAGCAGGGCACACCGAGAGCAGGCAGCACAGCCCCCGGGCTGTGACACCTGCTGCCCAAACAGGACCGGCCTCAGCCTGCAAACTCCACGGCTGCTACCTCAGCATCCTGATTTCTCAAGCCAGTCATTTAAACATTCTCAAAAGAAGCTCCAAAACACACATCCTTGGCCAGAGACACCAATACAGTGAGTGGAAGCAACCCCAAAAACAGTAGGAACAAGAAAGGACAGGACACTGTTGGTTTCATGGAGATTTCACAAGGATGGGAGTAAAGCAATATTCACATTCCATGTTGTAATTGAATCTTCCAACCCATGAATTCAAAAGCTGATCACCTCTACATTTAGTTTTGTTTAATTTAAAAGGGCAGCCTAACACTCCTTCCTTATGGTATCAGCATTAGTTGCAGATGTCTCCCTCATGGAACTGGATTTGAATTATTGTTTTCTGCTACACAAGGAAAACAAACTAAGCAAAAGCCACACTCACCATCAGAAGTGTCAGCCATGACTGTGTGACAAATAGCAAGCAGAAAAAAGAACTTCTGGATTTCTGGCTCCTTTCCAGCCTTTATTTGCTCTATCAGATAGTGATCGTAGAATAAGAACTTCCCATCTGCGTACGCATTCCAGCTGAAATCAACTTGCTGCACAGACAACAGGGGAAGAGAGGCCGAGTCACCAAGGTGCCGCTGCTTTGTGCCCACCCGCACCTCTCCGTGCCACGGCTGGGCCAGGCGGTGGCTGGGGTGGAGCTGGCACGGAGCTGGCATGGAGCTGGCATGGACCCACCTCTGCGTGGCTCTGGAGCTGCCCTGCTGCATCCCGGCAGTCCCCTGCAAGGCAAGCACCCACAGTCAGGGCACCGGGCACAGCACAGCTTTTACAGCCCACCACAAATCAAACATATCCACAACACGTACTGCCCTGCCACTGGAGGGGAAGGGAAAGGACAAACTGCTGCTCACGCTAAAATGTCCTTGTCTGTTTCTTGACTTTGTCCTCAGAGCATTTCTAGGGAAAGAAAATTTGTACAAAAAATGGTGCAAATTACCAATTTTCAGTTTTTCTGAAAGCTGAGAAGTTCCCACTAAAGTTCCATTATTTCCAACTTGTAAGTGAGAAACCCCCAACAACTCAACCCCATGCTTTACCCAGTGCCAGGTCTAAATTGTGGAAGTTCAGCTGGAACTAAGAGAACTTGTATGTACCTGACCTCCAGCAGGTATTAAAATTCCTCCTCCTCCTCCTCCTTTGCACAGCTTACCATATCTTTGCCCGTTTATGCAGCACTTTTTAAAGGTCATGATGTTCTGTGTGAGGGTTCCAGTCTTGTCAGAGAAGATGTACTGGATTTGGCCCAGCTGCTCGTTGAGCGTGGTGGTCCTGGCCTTGGCAGCCGTGTCCTTCTCGGGGTAGTACATCTGCAGGTCCCAGTTGATGAAATAGCTCTGGCCGAAGCGAATCACTTCCACACTGAACGAAAGAGAAGGGAGGTTCTCACTCCCAGCCGCAGCTCCCATTTCCACCCAGCGACAGCTCCTCAGGGGCTGCCCTACCTCACGTAGAGGGAGATGGGCACCATGGTGTTGAGGACAATGATGTAGCCCCAGAAGGTGAGGAAGCCCCGGTAGGCAGGGCTGGAGTCCTGGGCGTCGTACAGGTACCAGGAGGAGTTGCCAATCTGCTGCTCCCAGTAGGTGTGGCCGATGGCCAGCCCCGCCGACAGCAGGATGAGGACCACGATGATCTGCAGGGCACAGAGAGCCCTCTCACACTTCAGCAACATCTGCTCCACTTACATCCCAAATCCCCATGCTCCTGACAGAATGCGACAGGTATTTGTGAGGAGAAACGGAGCCAGCATTTCCCACAAAGGCACATTTCAGATTTCCTCCTACTCCATCCCAGCTCAGCAGGCCAGAAAAAAGTCAAAACGTATTTATTACATACACACAGGAAGAAGTTGCCTAACTTCACATTCACTCTTCACTTAAGATCAGAATTTAAAAAAAAGGCTTACAGTATAAACCATGTAGTTCATAAGGGAGTCAATTTTTGTCCTTTTAAATCTTGTCCTTCCACTATTTCTCATTATTTTTGTGTCAGCACCTAAAAATAAAGAGTGAAAAATTTAAAAAAGGGAAAGATAGGATAAGCAAACACATGTCAGTATTACAGTTTTACCAAACTGGGACATGAAATACAATTCATGAAGAATTCATCTATAGGATGAAGATTCTTTTTCACTCTACAGGTGTGCTTTTAGTGGGGAAATATTACACACCTGCAAATATGACCATTCCATGGCAGAAGTCTGTGTTCCTGATCTTACAGCCACGCAACAAAATCTTATCTGCATCCAGGGGATAAAGTGAGTCTCTCCAGGATAACATTCCTGTAAACTTATCCAGCCGGTTATTGGGTTCTTCACATTCAACCAGGCCTAGAAAATGGGGAGGAGAATGTGTTTAATGTACAAGTTGAATCCAAATGCATTGACTTGTACCCAACATCAAAGTAGCTTTGCATTACTTTTATTGACTTGCAAACAATTTGAGCTAGGTTCTAACAGCATTAGGTGTAGAACTGTACCAACCATCAAAGTCTGCCAGGGCACTTTCTTCCTGAAGGTGTCTGTGTGTCACCTCTAGGGCCATTTTGAATTTTAAGTTAGTCTCACTAAGAAGAAAAGATAAAAAGGTGATTTTATTAAAACCATAGGTACAGGAGAGAAGTTTAAACACAATTAAATTAAGGTACCACCACTACTCTGGGCAACCTATACTAAAGTAAAAAATAAATCCACGTCCTTCCCCTTTCTTCCTATGTCACGTTCTCCAACACTTTGGATGTGCCTGTAGCACTCCAGGGGACACGTTGTAATGATTCCTGAATTGTGGGAATCAGCAGCTGGATGCAGTTCCCCATGTGTGGCTTAACAAGCCGACTCTAACATCCACAGTCCTTGCTCTTTTCCTACTCAGCCCAAATTAACTCCAAGGCATCCTCAAGTAGGGCCTTACCCATCCAGTTCAGCTGTCTCCACATAGCACAAACTGTTTGGTTCTGAGCTGGACAGCAGCAAAATATCAGCCTAGAAAACAAATAAATAGACATCAAATAAAGCCAGGTAAAAATTCCTACAGAGCTCTCTTGAAACATCAAACAAATGTATCTGAAGCAGGAGCAAAAGGGACTTACAGGAACAAAAGTATTTTTCTTCAGACGAACAACATCACCAACTTTAATATCTTTCCATTTAGTGGCTTTGAACCTGAAACCAAAGATAGTTTATTAATTATTACTTTTAATCTAGAACACAATCCACTCTATAAATCTTATAATATTGAACTTTCCTTAGGAAAAAAAATTATCTTTTGGCGTGCTGTGGGTTTGCTTCTCAGAAACTGCAATTTAGCTGAGGGTCCACAGCTCAGAAGCCACCCTACCTCTTCTCTTCCCACTTCACCTAGCTAGGAATTCCTGTCCTGCTCTCCAAAGAAATTGCTCTTAGCACAGATTTAGTCCCAGAGAATTAACTTTAAATTACTCCTTCAAGCAATTCTCTTCCAGCTTCAGTTAGGGTTTCAGACAGAGAACAGAGCTGAGCCTTTCCTATCATCTACAGCTTCAGCTGTGTGGCAAAGCTCAGCAACAGGGACAGGACCAGAGCTCAGAGGGGAACACACAAACCTTCCATCCTTGATGACGTCACATGTCCTGTTATTGACCTCGTTGTCCATCCTGTGACGAGCCTGAAAGCACAGCAAACACCGCCCTGTGTCACAGCAGGCGACACCAGCGGCACTGGGAGGGTTCTGCTTTTGTATTTACACAACGTGGCTCTTACAATGTCATCCACCAGGTCTTTGACTGCAGTTATTCCCAGCACCAGCAGCAAGGGCACCAGAGTTGTGTACCATGACAGGGTACTGATTTCAGGAATCGCCTGCAAAAGAGCAATAGATTCAGGTCAGCACGGGATCGTCAATCAAACTGAAATCAGAGATATTTCACAGTGACCTGACTAGAGGAAAAACCAACACATCAGAGAGAATTTTAAGCCAGGTTGTGAAAATGAACAAAAGAAGAGTTTGGCTGTTACACTTCTTAGGAATCAGCTTCCCTTTAGCAATTGCACTGGCTCATATAGTCTGGTGGTGCTTCTGATTTATGAGATGAACTCAAGAAATATCTTTTCCTCATGAAATTCATGAGCTCTGCAACGAGTTCATTCAAATTCTGTGCAACTAGCTCATCCCAGAAGCCTGCCATAGCTCATCTGGATTTGCTGCAGGTTTCTGTTAGGATGGGCTTGGTCTCTGCAGCAGCTCAGATAGTGCCCCTCAATTCCCTGGCAGGACAGCACTGAACTGTGGCATAAATATTACTGAGCCCAGATTCCCTTCACAGTGAGTACTCTCCATCTTGCTTACCTGCAAAATGAGAAGAACCAGGAAATAGAAGTTGGCTGCTCTCTTGAACTGTTCAAACAGATTCAGAGGTAGAAAAGTGATGGGGTTGTACTTGTATGTCTTAATTGCATTTCCCTGTGGGAGAAACCCAAACATTGTCAGTGACACAGCAGAGCTTCTCCTTCCAACACAAATGTACAGTGCATTGGTTCAAATTCCCAATTCTCTATCTCACCTTTAACACGTCTCTTGATAGACTCTCCATTTTCCATTCCAAAACCCCAACCCAGTTATTCTTCCCCCCCTGGGCTGGAAACACTGAGGAATTGTGAACGGTGGCTTTTACACCACTCACCAGCCTTCCAAAGATCTTACTGGGATTAAGGAAGCATTCACCCGACAATTAGCACCTCATTGGGATAAGACAATTTACCGCATATTTGCTTTTCTTGAAGCACAGGAAGATTGTTCTCTTGAAGCCCGGCTGGTCATAGAAACGCTGGTCGTTTGCTTTAACTTGCCAGTTGCAGTCTGGAAGGGACAAAAGGAGTTGAAAAGCATTACAAACAATGAGGGAACAAATCTGCCACTTTCAGGTTTTCTCTCTAATCCATATTTTAAAGGAACTTTTGGCTGAAGAAAGGCTGGTACCTGCTTTACAATACATATCCTTAAAGAAACCTTTCCAAGGCATTTCCAGGCTGTTTGTCTTTATTAGCAATTCAAGTACATTCAGAGGACGATGAGCTTGCTTAACATTTGAAAGTTCTGTGGGACACCTGCAGAGTAACATTTACTCATGCTAAATTCCCTTCTCTCCCCTCTTTTGGTTGCCTCTGTGAGGCCCATGAAGCGCTAAGCGCTCCAACCCAGGTATGTGTCTTGCTGGAAATGAAGAGGTCAGTTCACCTTTTGAAGGCAATTGATTGATTTAACCATGCTGTGCCATGCTCTTCACTCACACCCATGAAAAAATAGAAAATGAGTGCTTCAGATTTGTATCTTCAGCCACCAGTTTTGTTCCACTGCGAGAAAACTCAGGAACAGGAACTGCATCCATCACAGTTTTCTGTGCCCGCTCTTTGACGGGCTTTCCCTCCCAGCCCCATCAGCTCCGGTTTAGCACAGACACCCTGTGCCCACAGCCACACACTCGGGCCGTGCCCACATCCCAGAACTCCTTTGCCAGGTCTGGAAGCTGCACTCGGGCCCTGCCCACATCCCAGGAGCTCCTTTGCCAGGTCTGGAAGCCGGACTGGGGCCCTGCCCACATCCCAGGAACTTCTGGAAGCTGCACTCGGGCCCTGCCCACATCCAGGAGCTCCTGTGCCAGGTCTGGAAGCCACACTCGGGCCCTGCCCACATCCCAGGAGCTCCTGCCCAGGTCTGGAAGCCGNTTGCCAGGTCTGGAAGCTGCACTCGGGCCCTGCCCACATCCAGGCACTCCTTTGCCAGGTCTGGAAGCTGCACTCGGGCCCTGCCCACATCCAGGAGCTCCTGTGCCAGGTCTGGAAGCTGCACTCGGGCTGTGCCCACATCCAGGAGCTCCTTTGCCAGGTCTGGAAGCTGCACTCGGGCCCTGCCCACATCCCAGGAACTCCTGCCCAGGTCTGGAAGCCGCATTCGGGCCCTGCCCACATCCAGGCACTCCTGCCCAGGTCTGGAAGCCACACTCGGGCCGTGCCCACATCCCAGGCACTCCTTTGCCAGGTCTGGAAGCCTCACTTGGGCCCTGCCCACATCCAGGCACTCCTTTGCCAGGTCTGGAAGCCGCACTGGGGCCCTGCCCACATCCAGGAACTCCTGCCCAGGTCTGGAAGCTGCACTCGGGCCCTGCCCACATCCAGGAGCTCCTTTGCCAGGTCTGGAAGCTGCACTCGGGCCCTGCCCACATCCAGGAGCTCCTGTGCCAGGTCTGGAAGCCGGCTCCCGCAGCTCTGCGTGCCGGGGAAGGATGACTGACGCAGGCAGGGTTTGGAAAGCCTGACTCTCCTGACTCTGCACCCAAGCATGTCCCCTCTGGTGCAGCCCACAGGGACCGTCCCCAGTGCTGCCCTTCCTGGTTCCATGGGATCCTCCTCACCACGGACGGGGTGAAACTGCCGGCGGCACAGGCGTGGGCACGGCTCTGACTAACGCTTCAAAACCCAAATCCAACTGCAAAGGTGGTTTTGTTTTTCCCGCCCACCACAGAGCAAGTTCCACGCTGACATAATGGACTTTTCCTGGGACTCTACAACTTTCATTGCCAGCACCTTGGTTACAAGCCCAGAAGATAATAGAGACATATTTATCTCGAGGAAGCATGTTTTGAGTTAACATTATATGCATAAATTTAGAAAGTTACTAAGTTTGTCAAAGTGACAGGGCATAAAGAAAAACATAAAGTCTACATAAACATTTCTTTAACACATTCCAAAAACATTGCAGTGTTGATAAAACTGATCAAAAACTGACAAATTAGGTAAAACCTGCAGGAAGGAAGCTCCTCAAAATTGAAGTGTGGTACTAACACGTAATATTTGGCAAGCTGCTTTGCTAATTCATCAACTTTAAAGGATGTCATCATAAAAAAACCTCTTAAACTAAACATGTGATGGGTGCTTGTAAAATGACAGCACGCAACAGTTGGTTATGAAATGAGAGCTGATCAGCTGTTCCCACACAAACAGGAAAAAATCTGTATAAATTACACAGGCTCTGGTTACATTGAAAATACTCTCATTGCAGCATGAGAAAAGGGAATTCAGGGGAGCTACAGATGTTTCCTGGGCAGAGGCTCAGAGCAGGGATGGCAGAAAGGCTCCTCCCACTGAGGTTCTTACGCTGGCAGCAGCCACAGGCTGTACCTGCCGGCTCCTTTGAACTCCTCCTACTCACCTTTCACCCTTCAGGAAACTCATGGGGCCATAAAGTGAGCAGTGAGGTGGGAATCTGCTCTGCACAAGCAGAAATCCAGGGAAAACACTGAGCACAGCAAAATGTTTATGCTGGAGCCCATTTCCAGAGGGCTGGCAAACCAAGTACCTGAAGGTCTGTCTGAAAGGTTCCCAGAGCACAGGCCATGCACATCCAGCGCCTGCCTTAATTAACAGGAGGTCACCATGCAGCTCATTATCTTTGCGCAAGGAGCGCTGGCACAGAACTGGGCTGCAGCTTGGAATGAAGCTGAGTCTCATTCTGACATTTGTTAAACTGAGCTGCCATCAATTTACTCCTCCAGACTCAGATAAGCCATTCCAAACCTTACCTGACACATCAATACAAAAAGTCCAATCAGTCCCTGAGGCTCAGCCTCTGCATCCAGCATCGTGCGCTGCCCAAAGCAGGGCCAGGGTGCTGTTACCTTTTTCCCCAGGCTCTCGGGCCATGGTGCTGTTACCTTTTTCCCCAGGCTCTCGGGCCATGGTGCTGTTACCTTTCTTGCCAGGCTCTCTGCTCTCCTCGGGGTCCCTGCTGCCTGGGTTGGGTCCCAGTTCAGCCCCAGGCTGCCGACCGTCCAGCTCGTCCTCCGTTTCGTCGTCGCTGTACGGCACCACCTCATCGTTGGGCTGCGAATCCTCCTCGAAGGTGGTCTCCGAGTCCCTTTCCGAGATCATGCTGCTAGCACCCTGCCAGCATGGGGGACAAGTTAGGGACAAGAGCTCACCCAGCAAGTGCTGGAAACCACAGCTGCAGTTTTACTGTGCTGGTGCTGCTCAGCAAACCCCACATGTGACACCCCAGAACAGCACAGGGCACGGGCTTGGTGTCCCAGCACTGAGCAGGAGCAGGGGGCAGCTCTTGCCCCAGGCAGCCCTTCATTACTGTTGTGCTATGTGTAATTACACCCTGCAGCCCAGAACACCGTGTGCTCCCCACACAGGATGTAGGAACTGGGGAGCACACAAACACGTCTCCCAGGGGCCATTACACCGTGCCCTGAGGAGCCACAGGAGCTGGAGCCCTCTTGGCCACAGCGGGACACGGAACTGGGCACACACGGAGTGCCAGGGCAGACATCCAGGGTTCTGTCACACCGCTGATCCTCCATGCCAGCCTGCCCAGCCTCGCTTCCTCTCTCTTCCCACGGCTGAACATCAGTGTTTGCCACTGCAGGATCCCACATCTCGCTGCCCAGACACCCGAGGACAGCAGGGGAGGCATTTTGGCTCAGCCCTGAGCTGTATCAGAGGATGAGCTGAGCTGTGGCCATGCCCACGTGCCCTTCAGCTGTGCCTCAACTGGACATCTCCTGCCATCGCTGGGTGTGATCCTAATCCTGAACCACACATCAATTCCCAGCTTGCCCCTGACCTGCCTCACCACCGTGGCATTGCCTTTGCTTACAAACTCAGCAACCAGCAGGGCTGGCACCAAACCTGCTGACATGCCCCTCAGCTTCTGGTTTTGCAAAGCTGAATCGTCTCCCCTCCCCAATATCTACTATAAGAGCGAGATAAATATTCCATGAGCACAGACTGTGCTACTGGAGTGGCAGGCTGCTGGCAGGGAGCCAAGGCAGGCCATGCTCCCCAGCCACAGCCCAGCACAGACTGACAGCCCAAAAATACACCAAATCCACCAGGCTGGGTGCACAGGAATCCACACAGCTTCTCCAAGACCCCCTCAAGCTGCTGGAGGCTTCTCCCTCATGGAACTACCCAGCAGGTCACTACCAAGGTGTAGAACCTGAGACTTCTGTGACAGATCACGTTTTCCTAAATGGAAATACGCTTCAAGCTCCAGTTCAGGCCCCTGAATACCTCACAGTGATATTCTGGGTTTATTTCTCCTTTTTTTCTGTGCTTTAATTCTTTCTGTCCTGCCAGCACCTCTTATGGGGACTGCTGAGGGAACAAGTTCCTCCCACACACAGTGCCTAGAACACAAAATGCCACCAGATCTTTGACTGGCTCTCACTCCACAACAACTGAAACAATCTCATATCCCTGGCCCACAGAGATTCAGCTGTTAGTCTATTAAATTTTACTGATTAACTGCTTAATGATTAATGAAGTAATTAGTCATGCAAAGGGTAGATGAGATGTCAAAAACTGCTGCTTTTGTTCTCCATTGCAGATGCGTGCCTGCACGGCAACTCCTACAATGCCACCAGCAGCAGCCTGATGCTCCCTGATCAGAGCCCGCCAAGTGACCTGGGGTAAGTTAAATTAACTGCAGTCACTTTCCCTCCTCAGAGAGCTAAACCGCCCTGGAGAAGCTCGTTAAGAGAGGAGATCTCATTAAGTGTTACCCTGCAGGCAGCACCAGCGCTCTGTGCTGCAGGAGGCAATGGAATTGTGCCCGGGGCTGGCTGGGAGCCTGAGGAAAAGCTCCCGCAGTTGGGAGAGAGATGAGCGCTGCTGTGGGACCCGGGGCAAAGGAGTCCTCCCCTGGCAGGCCCACAAACTGCTTTAGAGCTCAGTTTCTTGACACCTGGTGAGGAAGAAAAGGGCTGGCTGGGACACGCTGAGTCACAGGTTCAGAGGAAGGCGGGGAGGGATCACGATGGGCAAGGGGAGATGGGAGGAACCCCAGCATGGAGCAGCGGAGATGCAGCGAAGGCCGAGGGAGCAGGTAAGGGAGGGAGCACACACCCAGCAGAGCCTGGAGGCGGGAAGCACCCAGCAGAAACCCCGCGGGAACACACATGGCAAGAAGAGAGGGGCCGCTACTGCCTCTGGTCACACTCTGAGGGTGTGGAAACAGCTCAGGGAGGGCCCGAGGTGGAACAACACGGCTGTTAAATACCGTGAGATCAAATACTCAGACAACACTTTAAAAAGCTGCTTCTTGGCTGCACAGCCCTCATTTTCTAGTTCCTGACTTGACAACCGGGGCTATCACACTGTTTCAGACCAGAAAACCTTCCATTAACCACTTCAGTCTAGAGAAACACCAGCCTGGGTGGGTGGGGAGCAGTGCCCAGCTCCCGGTTCTGCCTTCCAGCCTGGAAAATCCTGCTGATCCACAGCAGGATGGATACATGGGGAGATAAAGGGGATCAAAACAGTGTTAAGCACAGGTTTAAGTATACCTGATCCACTTTATTTACTAAAAGGGCAAAAGGGCTTCAGTAACTCAGGTTTTGTGTCTACTTCTGCCTCAGGGCAAGCACCAGATAATTGGGAATAAATTAAACCTTGTAAAAACTCCACTTACTGCATTTGTTTCAAGGCAGTAAACAACAACGCAAAGCAATCTTATTCTAAATTCTTCTCTGGAGAGTCACTGCACATGACACTGCTGCAAGAACCTGGGGTGACTTCTTGCAAATTGGGTCATCACTCAAAGTGCCCTGAAAGTTCAGGAATCCAGCTAGAACAAGGGACATGGATAGTAGAAGGATTAAAATGCCACTAGAGCTGTTATTGTGTGTTTGTTATGGATATAAAGACCTACAAGGCTCACCATTACACACCTGCTGGCCACCACAGCCTGCTCACAGCCCACACCCTGCATGTCCCTGTCCTTGGCACCACATTCTGCACTACCTCACACACTGGGGCAGTGCCAAGCTCAACAGCTGCTCAAACCTGGCCACGCACTGCTCTTCCTGAACACAACACCATCAGTATTTTATGCAAGAACCATAAAGCCAACTCAGATAGTACAAAAAGTAACTCAGAGACCCTTCTGAACTGCTTCAGGGCTCTGGAGTTCAAATAGGACAAAAAAGCTACAGCAAGATGTTTCACCGATTTAACTTGGCATTTAAAAAAGCACTTAAATGCAAAGCCTGAGCCTCAGAGACGTAAGATTTATTTCTTTACCAGGTGTTGCTGGAGCATCCAGCATTGCAGAACAAAACCTGCTTATGGGAGGGCTGAATACCAACTCCCAGACTGGGGCAGAAAGCCATGTGTGACACAGCCTCTGGGGAGGCTCCCACAGGGACCTGCTGGCAGTGCATGATCACTCCAATTACACTTCCCTCAGAGACAGCAGTAATTACTGTGCCCTCCTCAGCTGTCCCACACTGCTCACCTCAGCAGGAACAGAGAATCGGAGCCACACGGGAACACGGACAGGGAGAGCCTGGTGGGGCACTCAGGGCTGCCACCCTGGAGGGCACCAGAGAGAAAGGAGAGCCCACAGAGCACCTGCATGGCTGCCCCACAGCACACACCTGGACTCAAATATCCATATCAAAGTCCATGTCAAACCCTGAGGGGTTTCAGCCTCATCGTTCATCCGTGGGCACAGGACTAAGGGATGGCTGCAACAGCACTTGAGACCTGACATTTGGAATTGCAAAGACAGCCCAGCACCCACTCTCAGGTCATGATCCACCCTCAGCCCAGTAATGACCCAACTGGTACCAGTTAATGCTCCTGGAGTTATTTTTAACACCGCCAAAGCACAGCCAAGGCTTCAAACAGAGGATATTGCATTTCTGCTCTCCCCTCAGGGATCCCAGCCTAAGGCTTTGGCAGAGTATGGGCCTTCATTAAAAATGTGTTCAGCAACTCATCTCCCTGGAACCAGAGCTGCTGCAGGGAAACCAGCAAATCACAAACTGCATTTGCTTCCAATAGATGAGATGGATCACTGATTACTCACAGCAGATGTGAAATGTGACTGGTAACAAGTGCTTGGACAGGCTGATAGACAGGTCTTCTGAACAGCTAAAACCTTCCAGGTAATCTTCATGACATTTTGAGAGGAAAAGAAAACAGCAGCTAGAATAGCATGAATCAGCACAAATGGGCCAAGGAAATAACCTTCACTCCAAACAGTACTAAGCTCCAGGTAGATTGCCATGCAAATTACATGCTTAAAGCTAATTAATTTATCGATCTATTTCACACACAACAGCTCCAGATACTTCCTTGAATGACTGCTTTACAGTAATTGAACACACAAAAGTTATATCTTGAAGGGAATGATTTCCCTTGCTCAGACACCAAGACCCTGAAACCCTCTAGAGGGAGGAGAGAGGGTTCAGTTCTGTGCTGCTAAGAAATGTTCAAGTCCCATCTTGGGGAAAAAAATTGAAATGGAAAGCAGACGCTATTGCATACTCCCCGGTGTAGCTACTGACTAAAACTTGTATGAAAATAAGAATGAAGGACTTTCCAATATAACTCCTTTATCCTGATGAGCCAACAGGATTTGACACAGGGAAGAGATTAACTCGACACCAAGAATTTAACAGAAAATCACTCCAAGAAAGAGACCCACAGCTGCCTGAGGTTACACAAAAAGTGCTGAAGATGGGCCATTGCAGATACCAAATCATCATTTCCCCGTTATCTGCCCTAGGATTTCTCATTAACAGATCTGCAGAGTTCTGTCATTTAAAGTCCAAGGCAAGGCAAGCTATCTTTGCATAAGATAAAGGGGTTGGTAACCTTTGCTCAAGCTGCCCTCTCTGAAGGGGTTTCAGCCTGCCTTTTACAGGGTGTTACCTTGGTCTTGAGGTTCATGTTACACAACAGCATATATTGAAGTTAATAGAGGGAAAAATAATTATATTGTTGTGCACACCTAAACTGCATTGCTTGGGGTAAAAGATTTTTGGAACTTTATAGAGAGATTTTTCCTAGTAATCACCATCAAAACCAGCAGATATTTTTATCTACTAAATAAAGGTTCCTTCCTGCTACCAAGATTGGAGATGCCATTAACACACCTCTTCTGGCAGCACCTACAATAGAAACTGAAGCCATTTTCCTCAACTGACCTTTATCCAGTGGAGTGTGTGACTGAAGCCCAGACTGCATCACAGACGCTGGCACTGGCCACTCACAGAGGATCCCCTGCGTTCATCTTCAAACCAGGCTCCATCTGCAATGAAACAATGTAGAAAACGGTTCCTTGGCTGATTCCACCTTGCGTGCGCACAATAACTAAAAACGATTCCGTAGAAAAATCGTGAAATTTATTTGCCTTGCAAAAATTTCTTAGGCTTTGTGTGGAACCGTTTGTCCTATGACCCTAAGGTGTCTGGGCTCTGTGATAAACCTGCGGCTGGAGGCTGGTAGAGACCTTTTAAAGATATTAACACCCACACCCTGTTTGTGAAGTCATTAGTACATCTTGCCTATCACCAGCGATTGTCAAATGAAAATAACATTTCAAGTTTCTATCAGAACACACGGGAAAACCCAGCAGACGTCCAGAGGGATTGTGTAAGCTTGCCAAAAAGCAGCAGTGCTGTCACGGAGCTGGGCACCTGCCGAGGAGGGCTCAGAGGACCCGGAATGGGAATGTGCCCTTCACCCTCACCGCGACAAGCACAGAAACAGAGAGGTTAAGTGATTTGCCCAAGGCCATGGGGTAAGTCACTGACAGAGCCAGGGTTGGGTTTCAGCAGCTCCTGGCCAACGTCCTGCATTCAATTACAGCTGCACAAAGCATCTCATTTAAAAGAGGCCCGACAAAGCCCACGGCCAGGAAGAACATCAAAACCCCTCGGATCTGAAACAACAACAACAACAACCAGCCCCCTTTCCACATTTGAGAGCAGCCAGCACTTCAAGCTTTCAGCCACACCAACAAGAGAGCAGAGAAATAAATTCCAGCTCATTTTAAAATAACTTCAGTGCAAGTGCCTCTTGAAATTCACCATCCCAAACTCTAAAGCAAAGGTCCAGAACACTCACATGCTGCCTTTATGGCAGAATTACATGAGAATAGTTTAGAAATGACTGAAAATAATCTCTCCAATAGCTACAAGTTAACAGATAGACAAACAGAGGCCCGGGACAGGTACGAAAGCAACCAGACTCTAAGGTGGCCACCAGTGCAAAAGCTAACAAGGAAAGCTTCAAAAATGGCCAGATACTACTCATTTTCTAAACCAGGCTTTGAAAACGAAGACAAATCAAAACCCACGACCAAACAGAAACCTGAGCAGCCTGACGGAGCACAGACACCGACAGGGAGTTAATCCAGGGACTCGCTCCAGCAGCAGCCGCCCAGGCGGGGATTGCTCGGGGGCCAGGCTGGCACCCCAAACACCCTAAACACCCCAAAGCCCAGCGGCGCCGCTCTCCAGAGCCAAAGCCCTCGGCCCGGAGAGCAAACACCCGCCCGGCTGCTGCTCATCGCCAGCACGCTCCTGCCAGAGCCCCCGGGCTCTTCGGCCTCTTGGGTTTCAGCGCTCCTGCCGACACCCGAGCCGGGGAAATGCTCCATTCCCCGCTCCATTCAGCACAGCTCCATCCCGGCTCCGAGCAAGGGATGCTCTTTAAGCTACAGGCACCAAGCACCAGCTAACAGGACCAAGACACCGGACTGGTTTTGTTTTGTTTCCCAAGCAAGTCACTGACCTCACAAGTAACTCGCCCAGTATTTTCTATTGCAGAATTACTGCTCCTTACCGCAGAAACCTATTGCTGCTCTGATGACTGTATAAACACTGAGTAATGAGTAATGACCGCGCAGCCCTGAAGGCTGCTCTCATTGTATACAAGTATGGGGGGAAAGCCGGGAGCAGGGCAACCAGCCCAGGGCCACCGGCTGGAGTCAGTGCCCGGGGGGCTCGGGGAGACCGGAGACAGCCGAGCTGCCTTAGCTCACCTTCCAGCAAACTCCTGCGCTTTCTCTGCACTTCACACCGGAGGGACTCTGCGCTAACTTGGACCGTCACCGGCCGCGCATCCCGCGGGTGGGAGCGAGGGGGACGCCGATTCCCGCGGGGTTAAACCCTCCAAAACAACGCGTCGGGGTCCTCGCTCCGGGCGGGAGATGTTC